AGCAGGAGGTGATGCGATTGCTTCTAACTCTGTACGCACTGCATCCTTCACACCAACTGCAAATATTTCTACATCTGCATCCCTCAGCTTTATTGCAGGTTCTTTAAAAGCATCTGATGATTTTCCATCAGTAATAAGAATCATGACTCTTGGCACATTTGGTCTTGATCCTTTGCTGGTAACAAATACTTTCTCCCTCACATATGTCATCGCTTTGCCTGTGTTGGTAGATCCACCTCTGTAGGGGAAGGTGTTAATAGCCTGAATTATGTCTTCCACTCTGTTGTATCTGTTCAAAGAAAACTCCATATGGGGATCTCTGCTGTACTGGACAAGACTTATCTGTACTTTTCGAGGCGATATCTCAAAGCTTTTAACTAACACTTCCAAAAAGGCTCTTACTTTAACAAAATTGGCGATACCAATGCTGTAGGAACCATCCACTAAAAACACAACATCAGCTTTTACATCCACACCACGTGAGCATTCTGTAAAGAAAAAGGATTACCACTGTAAACAGATATTCAGTAGCCACAACACTACAATTGCATCTGCAGTTTGTGTATCATACCTGGTTGCTTATAAAGGCAATAAACCGTTCTAAATAAAGCTGTTTCTCATAAATAATAAAGGTATGATATTAAAACAAGCATCAGAGGTTTAAACAACAAAAAGCTACCATGTGAAAATAACATAGTAGCTCCTAACTCACCCACTTGAACTTTTACTTGTTGTGTTTTTTCCATTATTGTTATTGGCTCACTGGGGGTCAGTCCTTTCATTGCATAAACATTAATTTGATACTCTGTGTCTGGAGAGAGATCTTTAACATTCAGAGCAGTAGTCTGAGGACCCACACTCAGTACATGTTGTTTTCCACCAGCTATCATTGGAATGAACTGCAGCCGATAGCCAGTTATTTGGCTTGTGGATGGATCCCAAGTGATACGAACAGATTTTGAGGAGATCTGAGTGGCCACCAGATTTGAAGGAGGTTCCACCACTGAAAGAAATCAAAAGCAAACCAAAATATTAATTAGAATTATAAACATATTTTCCTGCACATTTTTATTTCTGGAATAAACTCAGTCATCTTTGCTTAGTCTTTACTAAAAATCATATTTTTTTAGCATAAACAAACAAGTGAATTACAGAACAGTCCAAATGGGGCATCAGTGAGCGGGTAGAAATACGAACAATGCATTTGCAGTCCCCCGAGCATAGTAGAAGTTCCAGGAGAAATGCTGCCTTGCTTTAATACTGTGTCAAACAGAGGTGAAAGCTGCACCCACAGAAACACAGTAGAGACTGTGCACAAATGCAGACCTGAGCAGAGCACTATGACTGGAGTCATCTCTGCTGCCATTTTGGTCAAAGAGTAACTAGTTACTTAGAAACTTACAGGGCCAGAAAGCTGCAATGATATGTCTGCGTTTTCTCAGCATTCTCCAGTTTTCATTCCTTGGTTCTTAACCTATTACATATTCTGCCCCTTCACAAAGCAGGTTTTTTCCCTTTAGTACATTTTTCCATAGAAGTGATGCCTGTGTCCAAATTACTGGATGAGACTCTGATAAATGCACATCATTGTGTTACCCTTGAAACTATGGAATAATGGAGCTATTCCAAATCTACTGCGTCACATCTTCTGTTCTCCTGTATTTTAATGCAGAAAGCTGAGACCTGTTTTCCAGACTTGCTAAATGAGGCAACAGATCAAACTCCAGAAATAAAACAAAGAAAGTAGGGATAGCCCTTTAAATATGCATCAGAATAAACTGAAGTCAATAAATACATTTATATAAAGTATCTCACCTTCTTCTCCACTAACCAGTTCACCCAGTTGTTCATCAACACCAGAGCACACTTGCAAGATAATTTCATTCTGTATATCCACAATTCCATCAAAATTAGCCACATTGAACACATGCTTCAGCGAAGGTTGAGATGCAATTAGCTTGAGTTCCTTTGCATCTGCTGCTTTGATTCCTAGAAGTTGCAATAGACAGGACCATGTTAAGTGGCCATAAAATACAGACACCTGTGAATATATTCATAAAGTATTAGAACATTCTGGGGTAAAGCTGAGTTTAATTCAGTTCTTTATTTATTTATAATCTGTCATTATCAATAATCAGACTACAAAATAATGCTTAATGCAGTGAGGTGACATACTCCATTTTCAGCCTGAGAAAATAATGTGTTGTCTTCAGTAAGGCCAAGGTTGCAAGTATGCTTGTCAGTCATCTTAATCTCCACGTAGGAGCTACAGAATTACTGTCAAATTAACACAACTGGCTTGTTCCACTTTGGAGGGCACAAACGACCCATTTCAAGGCATACACATGGAAAGAGTGGCATAGCAAAATCCTTGGAACACAGAATCTGTGAAACATATAGCTTAATTCTTTAGGAATGTTAATCTCTCAATAATTTAAAAAAACTCAACATACCCAAAGAAAATACTTCAACTCCTATGTTGCGAAGCTCTCTTGCAGGAATTTCAACTTCATCTTGAGCTTTTCCATCAGTAATGACAATTGCTACTTTGGGAAAGCCTTTTCTTGCTCCAGCAGACTCAGTGAAGGTGTTCTGAACCAGGTAATCAATAGCCTCACCTAAAACCAACACCACAAGCTGTGTTTTATTAGGCTTGAATGAACTAGGATTTAAAGCAAATTTGAATTATAAAATGAAATGCTGAATAAATATGTATGTGGGAAATCTGTACCTGTCATTGTGTTGCCACCTTTGTAAGGTATCCTTTTAATTGCATCAATAAGATCACTTCTTCTGAAATACTGATTTAAATTGAACTCTGTTCTTGTGTCTGAACTGTACTGAACAACTCCAACTCTCGTCTTTTCTTCCCCAATGTCAAAAGCTGATACAAGGGCAACCATGAAATCCAGAATATATCCGAAGTTACTTCTCCCTACACTCCATGAACCATCTACCAGGAAAACTAAATCTGTCATTGCACTTATGGAGCATCCTGGAACACACATACACAAAAAAAAGATCTCTGTTAGCAAATGAGCAATTGCATTCTTAGAAATCAATGAGAAATGTCTGACAGAAACTTAGTAGGTAAAAGCCAAAACAAACAGATATTTAATAGATTGATATTCTTATCTGGAATATCTTACATGGGGAAGCATTATTCACATAAGTGAACACCCATACGAGCCTTCTAGCTGCTATTACCAAAATGGAACTGTCACCTAGATACTCAGTTTTGAGACACCTCTCACGCTATTCCACAAGATCTGTTATGCCACAGCAGATGAAAACTCACACATCAAACTTTTTGCAACAGTTTGATGTTATGGGAATATTTCATTTTGTTACCACTTCTGCTTTGCATCTTTATCTCCCCGTAATAGCTACACAGGTTCTTCTGCAATGTCTTTTGTTAATAGGACCGAGACACTCATGGACGTGTTCAAATTAGTTGCATGAAATTCCTAGTTTCAGTACAAACTTTGCACCTTATTCTTTCAATATGGCTATAAATTCCTTCCATCCCAGTCCCTTCCCAAGTTTTCTTAACTCTGGACAATTTTACAAGTTAGCTTTATTGCTAGGTAACACAGGAACACAGTTTAACTTCATGGGGCCCTAGAGCTAGACATCACTTATCTCTAAAACATCAGGTAAGTTGAAAGGCAAAACACCTTACTTTGTAATTGAGCCTCAACCTTCTTTTCCTCTGGTATCCCTGGACCACCTGTCTGAACTGCACAAAGCACAACATAGAGAGAATTAATGGAGGAAATCAGGTCAAATTTGTTAACGTCAAAGAAAAGCATGTAGGGAATTAGCGACACAAATCTGACATGCAAGTTTTGAATACATCACCTGTACTTACAGATTTGATAACATAACATTCAGGGCAACACAAAATCCAGAAAATGCAAATAATTAAGAATCCTCTGTATTTGTACATCTTGTATGGTAATTTCCTGAAAATTAACTGCAACATCCCTGGATGAAATACTAATATTAACCCTTTCTAACACATAGGGGAACTCATCATAAGTAATTTTCCTGTGGTTGTTTGGGAAGCCTGAGACATGCAACAAAATGTGTCATAGAAGATAGTCTGCTGTGCTTAACATTTTTACTTAATTAAATTTATTTAATGCTTTATTTAATTATTAAATATAAATGACAAAAAATAAATTCCATATTTTATTATGCATATAGATATATTGTGTCACATTTTATTGTTTGATGAAGGTAGTTAGATTTTTTTACCCACACACACACACACAGAGAAGAAGCCGGTCAGATTAATTTGTTACTGAGGTCAATGAGAGCTTTCCCCTTGACTTCAGCAGATGCAGTTTATAGAAATAGGCTTAGCTCAAAAGAACCAGTGACCTTCTGCAAAGAATTCTATAGGGGTTGTCAGACACGATATATTCATGTTAGTCTCCTCTTATCTCTTGCAAATTATCTCTGCTTTTACTAGGAATTGTGCTTAATGGCTGGTCAGGCAGCTACATCTGATCACAGTCTAGGCATGTGGCAATTTTGTTGAGGAACTGGAACAAAGACAAGTTTTGTGAATGACCACTCAGTTATCTTACTTGCTTTCCTAATTGTATTACAGGTACTTACTTGTCAGTTGGCCAAAAACAGGTAGACTCTCCTCTCTTTCATCATATGAAGCTATTGATACAACATACTCTATATCAGGTATAAGATCTGATAAGACAGTTTGGGTAGTGCTAGGTGAAAGAGTAAATTCTTTAGTAGGCCCATCTGCAATAAATATATGAAACAGTTAATGCAGCCTTTAAATCCAGTAATATCAATGACAATTTGATCATAAACAAAGAAAAAGAAAATGCAACAGAGAACAATCTATCTAAAATCCAATGATAATTTTAGAACAATACACTTCCTTTTTTTCTGAAGCATGAATTTTGAAACATGAAACTCCAAACTAACCTGTTTTCAATAGTGAACAAAATTACCAAAATGTTTAATGAATTCCAGGAAATTTGAAACTTAAAATGCACATACAACATGTACTATCATCTAACAAATCATGGTCCAGTTCTGATTCAATATCACTTTTACACTGATTATTTCCCAAAGTGAATTAGAATAATGAGTGTCTTACACAGCCATTATCAGGAAGTTATATGACATCACTGCATCATTACCTAACACATGCAATATTTCCCCTTGGAGAAGTACTTGAATGAAGTACAATACAATTCCCTAACTTTAAGGTAGAAGTATAGAAGAGGAGCAGAGTGATGATTCTACCTTCTTTTTGCTCCTTGCGAAAGGAAAGGGGTCCAAAACTTAACTACTTGCAGTCCCCAAAGGGTAAATGCTATGGTAAGAAAAACTCTTAACTTGGAACAATCACTGCTCCTTCCTGTATGCCCTTTGCTGTTACCCAGTCTTCATCACAAACTTCAGAAAGATGTTAATAGCTACTCTCATACCGAAGTTAGGTATAAGTGAAAACAAACCCAAGTTTTCAAAAAATTTAATGACATAACAAAATTTTACAGAACTCACCATTTGTTGGAACCACAGTTATCCTGTAACCCACTATTGCATCTGGTGGCCTTTTCCATGACATTTGAACATTATGTTCATCTATAATTGTAAAATTCAAGTCTGACGGTGGATTAACTGCAAAAGATTTATACCAGGTGGATGTTTAAAAGTTTGCACAAGCTTTGACAAGTAAATAAATAAAATAATGTTGAGCAAAGCTTACTAGAATTGTCTTTGCATAAATTTGTTTCCAACAAATATAAAGATATGTTGTTGGAAAAAGAGTAAAATAAAAGCTGACAAAATATGACAAAACATCAAAGAGTATATGCATTACAGAGGACAGCACAGAACATATGTTTCTTGAGTTGCCAAGACATTCAAGAATGGCCAGCAAAATCAAGCACAATAGAAAACATGTTTGGATACATGTACAATGAGTTCACAGATAATCACCACATATGCAAACATTTCACATAACAATTAAAGGAAATTTTTTACATGCTGGGTGCAATCCGTACAAGCATGCCAAATCACAACCTGCTTACAATATCATGAGATCATTTAGGACATTGAGAACACAGTACTCTTCTTAATTAGACATCAAAGAATTGATTGGCTTTTTAATATAGTCTCTGCATAGTCATATTTCTTATCAATTTCACTGAATCTAGAAGCTCGGCAGAGAAAAAATATTTTAAAGAATACAGGAAAAGATTGGACATTTAATGTTCAGCAAAACAATTTCTGTTAGGGTCTAGATACAAATATACATGTAAAATGTATATCAGTAATAATAATATACTGATGTATCATTTTGTTTCAAAATACCCTTTTTTAGCTCTACCCCTTTGTTCCTAGAAGCCACTAAAATGACTTACTTTGCATATGGCTGCAAAGGATTCAGGAACTAAGGGGATAATAAATGGGGTTAGTAATGGTTGCAATTTGCCGATATATTTGAGCTGATGCGAAAGTTCACAAAAATAAGATTCTACCTGTTTACACCAGATTGCTGTACAATTTCAAAGGTGTAAACTGTTGTTTTCATGTTCCCTTTGCAGCAGGTGTACCCATACTAGTAGTGGCATTTTAGCATAAAATGCCAGTATGGTTCCAAACAACACAATGGTTAATTATGAAAAGACAACATCAAAGTATATTTATGGACATTTATTTTACAGAATTTGTAGAAAACAGCAAAGAAGGCACCAGTGATCTGAACAAATGACTGCAAATAAAACTTGTAGGAGCTAATGACAGAAGTAACTGAACAGTACAGAAAGAAATAGTTTACATACGCTATTTTGCAGCATCATGCATATGTAAATGAAATGTTGATTATTATTTTTTTAGCTTCCCACAATGGACAAAAGCCTCCATGTACAAGGTTTATTACACAAAGACGTTTCATAAATATTTTATAATGATATTCTCTTTGTAAAATTGTCATGCTTATTCATGCAGTATTTTACTGACTCACTGTCAGTGCATGGTAGGTGTATTATATATTATTGTTTAAATAGTTCTACAAAGTAAGATTAGACTCAGCCATACTTTCCTTAACTACTGTGAGACTGCTTTGCAAGCAGTTTTAATAGACAGATCTTCTCTGTTTCATGAAAGATCTCCATCATATGTCAGATTTTGTTTCAGTTTTGAACATCATTTAAAGAGCAGATAAAGAAATAAATGCTAGAATGCATACTTATGAAAAGATACTGTCCAATTGTGATAAGTAATATTGAGCTCAAAAAAAATGGCAACCAATTGTCTAGGCATTTTTTTCCCTTTAATTTACTGTCATTTCCAACCATAGGATAATATGGCTTTGTAATACTGGTACTATAGATACACTAGTACTGAAGTAAATGTTATTTTTCCTGTTGTCCATACACAGGCAGTGAGATTAGACCATTAACCTGCATGCACAATTTATTCATCATTCAGTTTATGAGTATCACAATGCTAGAGACAGCAAGGTAGTTACTTAGTATCAAAATCATGCAACACGTGTTAATAGTAAAATACATTTAGGTGATAAGAATATCATTATAAAATATTGTTTCAGTAGCAATGGCTCAGGACAAATTTAATGCAAAGGCAGAGACAACTGACCTGAGCATGCTTTTAAAAATAAATTCAGTACATGGAAAAAATAGCGCCACCAACCTTGCAAGTAAATTGGCATGTTGCAGCAGAGACTTTAGGCTTTAACTGCTGAAGGACAGCAGCAGCCCAACTTGTTGATATCCAAATGACCGGATTCCAGATAAACTGAAAAAACTGACTGTGAGGAAAAGTCTTTAGCATTTTAAAGGAATTTAATCCATTTGATGAAAATTCAGATGCGGATCTTGGCAGATAACAAGAATAGTACATCAATACATAAGTGATGTATCCGTTCAGCCAGGTGTTCACAGCCTTTTAGAACAGCATTGCAGGGGACCTCAGAAAGTCCCCTCGTCCATCCCACAGCCAAGACATGATCAGCCACCCCATGTCATTCCTGACATGTTTGCTCGGATCATTCTTAAAGACCTCCACTCGTGGCAAGTCTGCCAGCTTCCCATGGAAATTACTCCAAAGCCTCACTCCCTTTATCATCGCAAAGTTATTCCCAACACCTAACCGCAGTCTTTGTCGCTGCAGTTTAAATCCATTTATTCTCAACCTATGGCTGGCTTATCAAACGAAAGCACTAAATTCTTCTCCCATTAAAATCCAAAAAGGAACCTCCTCTGAGTGAAAAAAAGCCAGTTTCGATCCAGTGTCATCAAAATGTCTTCTGAATGGCCTGTGAGCTTTTGATACTCAAGCAGAACCCCCAAAACCTCCATGGACCTTCACATGGGTCAGATTTCACCCATGTGAAACTGGCTGCAGGATGAAGACCAAACCATGGTCATATGACAGAGAGCAGTAAGTCTATCTGAAGTACAGCAAAATGTTTAGATGATAAAAACCTTAATGTGATAATCAACTGTTACTCCACCTTATTAAAATTCTTCTTCCAGAAGGGAATTCACCAGTGGAAAAATAATACATCTGCAATATGGAATTAGATCAGACTTCTAGGAACAAAATGCCCCTGGTTGTGGTGGGAGTTTGTCCCATTACAGGGACAAACCTTAAAACTCCACTCTACAAAGGCTTACATGTGAACACAGCATTACTCAAGCAAGCAGTCTTGATGTTGGGCTACTTGCGTAAGTGAAGTTGCACATATGCTTACAGTGTAGTGACAGTGCGGATCAGTCTGATCCTGTGCCCATCAAAATCCATGCCAGACTTCTCACTGGCTTGTCAAGGTACAGGATCATGATCGTAACATGTGATGGTATTATAGTATTGCCTAACTACAGTGATTTCAATGTTGATGCACAGAAATATACGGCTCCCCTGAAGGTTTCCAGCATAGTAAAAAAATACCTTGCTGTATGACAATAATGTTTACACAGTGTTAATTTCCACCACTCTTAGAACTATGATATGATAATTTCCTCAATCGGATATCCTATCTTAGGCACCACAAAAGAAAAAAAAAAAAAAAAAACACCAAAAAAAACCCCCAACAAACAGACATATTATACTTAATTCATTGCCACTCCTTATGTTATATACATGTATAACAACAGTGTGTTTTCTGAAACAAAAACTATAGAGCAAGGTATCTTTTTCATGCTATGTATGTCTTATACAAGCTTGTATTACTTAACAGGTAATACAAACCTAATATGCAAAAGTCTACAGCTGTTTACAGATAACACAATGTGACTGCTAGAGGATCCCAATGAATACCTTAACAAGGCAGAAATAAAATACAATCAGAAGATCAGCAATTTAAATCTAGAATGGGACTTAAAAGTGCTATAACTTGGAAGTAGCTGCCATCCACAATCCCTGTATGAAACAAAATCTGTAATTCCATCACTGGAAAAGACTCACTATAATTAGCATTCCACTATAATTTCCTCATTCCTTTCCTGTGCCTTTGAAAATCCCTCTGTATTGGGAAACACAACACACTACACAGGCCATGATGTCACCACAGCATTACCTGGAGATTATAACAAATGGGTTATTTGCATACTAATCTACTTGGCTTAACTATCACTAAAATAATGAAAAAAAATCTTATCTAGCAAAAGGACATAGATTTCCCCCGGCTCTTTGTGATCACAGACAGAAAAAATACTGTGACAGAAAGAAATCTTGACACAAGGACACCCAGGGAATGCACTGGAATACTGCAGTGCTGGACTAAAAAGGCAAGAAACAACTTAGAGCATAAAATATAGCAACATGCACAAGAAGTTTAAGCTGAGAGAGAGACGTCGGAAGAATTGCAACACAAAACAAGAAGAATTTCACTATAAAAGAAAAGAGAAAAAAATGCTGAGCATGAAAACAGATTTGCTTCCCTGTCCAGGGTAAACAAACAACTTCTCCAATGAAATGCCATGAATGCATTTAGACTATATATTGGGTTCACCCCATCTACTGCTACCTTGAACATCCTAGAAACCCCAGCATTGCTGTATCTCTGTAGAAAAACTCTTAACACCATTACTGCAGCTCACTGCCTTGCCAACATCAACAGAGAATGGCTCTCATGAAGGACTTGCAGAGCAGCTGTGATGCTAACGAAGAACCAATTTCATCCTGGAAGATTTAGGAATCTATGAACAGCCGTATCTGATAAACACCAGATCTACTCCCAGGGGAGACAGAAAAATGAAATCTGAAGGCAGGCAGAAAAATAGAACTAAGCTTTTCCTTTCCTCTGCTTTCACTCCATCTTCCCACCCCATATCAACAATCTTTACCACATCAAATGGCCCTCTCCCTTACCTTCCTCTCACTTTTTCATCCCACCAAGTGTCTACCCACACATCAACGAAAGAAGACAGCCAAAGGAACAACAACAAAAAAAAAGAGAGAGAGAGAGAGAGAGAGACAGGACTGACTAGTGGGGGGAGAGCTTTGCCACAATGTGATCTAAAAGTTGGAAAAACAGACTAAAGGACAAATGTCCACAGGAGAAAGTCAGTTCAGCAGACAGGATTTAAGTTGTAATGATACCAGAACTGAAGTAAATAAGATCTAACATGCAATTTACAAGACAATGCAAAATTGAAGCGCAAAATTAAAACAGTGCAGAAGGATGACCGGTATAGTGCAAAGATAAAACACTCTGCAAAAAGCTCTACGAAGCAGTTCCCACCAGAGCAAGTCCTAAGGTACTCCTAGCTTTGAAATTCCATTTTCAGCACCACTATTTCTCACTGCCCTTCCTACTCAAGACACTTTTCTGCTCTTACTTCAAAACTCTGGAGCTAGGAGAAGTTTCTCTTAGAAACATTATCACTGTGAACTAAGTATTTTATTTAATACACATTTCTGAATGCAGGGTAATGTAAGTCCTGTCCAGGAGCACTCTACAACTCACAAGATCAGGCTTTGTCCACTCTTTTGCTTAGTAATGGCGCATCCTTCAACATGAGATCTAAACAAGCTTGGCCAGCTTGTCTGGCACGCATCTAATTTCACTGTTATAAAATAACTGTGTGCTTCTCCAAACACATTTTTGTAGCTTTCATTAACAATTATCAAGCTATGACTGGTTTAGCCCACACTATAGCTAAATAAAACAGCTTTGCCTACATTTTGAAATAACCTACTCCATACATGCAACCATCGGTGCAGGACAACAGCACTATGCCAGCTCCGAGTGAGCTCCCACCTAAGATGGGGAAGAACACACAAACACATCCACTCCCTTCCACCATCAAAACTGTACGCTTTCCCTGCTTTCTCTGGCACAGCCGTCCTGCGTTTCAAACGCAACTCTGAAATGACTTCAAATGACCTTTTTTGGTTCCTGAGCCAACAACAACGCAGCGCAAGAGGGAGGCAGCAGGCTGATTCTCTCCTAGGGTGACCAGATGTTGTACTACTGGCAGAAATGTCATCCTTATCCAGAAAGCCAGTCTACTTTATGTCTGCATGCCGCAAGCGAGCACCGCTGCCTGCGGCGGGGGGCAAACGCCCCAGAGGCATCTCTGACACGCCATCCTTTTAGTAGCCATCAGCCAAGCTGACCAGGTGCGGACACAGGAGATTGCAGCAGGCCATGATCAGAGAATTTGTTTCAGTTCAATACAGAAAGAGAAGGAAGGGAAAAACACTGTATTATCAGATGCTGGATTCGTTTTTTTTCCAGTAAATCCAAGGGAGTTGACACCCAGCAGCTCGGTTCACCCTACAATGGAGTCAGGTCCTGCAGGTCAGATCAAGTCATTTCAGTGCAGGATGTTCAGCATCTCTACTTCCTCTGGCAGCCACTGCTGGCAGAAATACCATTACTGCGACCAAAGCCATGCAGCTCACACAGAGGGCAACAGTGGAGGTTGCCCCCATGTTTGCCTGCTGATCCGCCGGGGAGGCAAACGCACCAGGGCCAGGCCATTTCGAGACGCACTCTGGCAAGTGCAGCGGCCACAATGGGTCTCCCAAAGTCTTCATCCCTGCAGCTGGAGGCAGGACACTGCCACAGGCTGACAGGGACCTCAACCTCCAGAGAGCCCGGGCCGGGGCCCTGCAAGGAGGAGGAGGAGGAGAAGAAGAAATGCCCCTTTGGGGGCGACGGCGCCACATGCATGCCAGAGCCTTGGGGCCCTGGTCGCCACAGCAAGGCCTGGCCCAGGCCCAGCCACCCTTCAGCGGTGCCCAGGGCGTGTGTCATGGCGGCACCAGCATCTCCCCGGGGATATCCCCCAGGTCGGACCCAACACAGAGGCCGAAGCATCCAAGAGGG